CCCGCAGCCTCGCGCTCGCTCACACGCGCGCTCGGCCCCCTGCGCGCCCCCCGGGCTCCCTCGGCGATCGTGCGGGGGGCAGCCGGCGCCTTTCGGGATTCGGGAGCACCGAGCGGGCGGGCGGGGAGACCCGGCAGCCTCGCAGCCTCTGCCGCTGAGAAGCGTTTCCGATTTCCTCCGGTTCTCAGCCCCGCAGTGCGTCCTGGCCGCGCGCTAGCGCTCTCTCCCGCACCCAGCCACACGATGACACGCGCACACAGGCGCGGCAACTTTTCCTGGCCCCACCGGCCGGCAGAGCCGGGACCCCAACTCTCCGACCGGCTTCTAACTCCTGACTTGTGAATCTGGCTATTGTTCTTCCCCCACTTTTTATCTCTCTGCTGAGGGAAGCTTTCTTTTACCAAAGGGATCTAGAGATAGATCAATGATTGAAAAAAAAAATCCTCACCCCGCGGTTTTCGGACCTAGCACCTATGCACGACTACGGGATAGCTACTAGATGCTGACACAGGCAAATAAGTGTATTGGGAGCGGGGGAGGGAGGGATTTCTCAGCCAAGAACTCTGAAAGATACTCGGTGTTGGCATTTCCCTCTAAGAGTGTGGCTCGCCTGGGAATAAGCAGACTGACCAAGAGGCTGTTCAGTGTGAAAGCCTTGCTGCTTTTTAACTACAGAGGGGAGGAAAAGCTGAGCATTGGGGTTGACTTGGGAAAGACTTAATGCAGCAATCGACGAACCATTCATTGCCCTTTCCAAGAGAAGCATAATCATTGCCAATACATCACTTCCCGATAATTAATAAGGGAGCATTGCACCAGGCCCTTGCTCTGTTGACAGCTCATTCATTCTTACAAATCCTTAATGACTTGGCCTGATGAAAGGTTAGACCTACTGTGGAGTTCGCTGACTCCTAAACCTGGCTGCACATCAGACACACCTGGAAACGCAGGCCCTGATGTCGCAGGTCACAATGGGGCTCAGATCTGTATTTGAAAGCGCCAGTTGCTAGCGGCCACTGGTGCGATTTGTAGAGGGTCAGGAGCAGCTACACTGGAAGGGGAGGGAAGGAGGGAGTTGCACAGCACCAGGGAGAAAGTTCAGTTTGGGGGGAAAGTCCTCCACCCATACCGTACTTACATGCAGCTCTGGGGCCACCAGACCTTAGGAAACGAGATTCTGACTCCAGGAACCCCGATGCCCAACTCTGCAACAAAAAGAAGGGAATGGAGGCGAAGTAGCCTGTTCTGCCTCTATGCCCGTGGCTCTCAGTCCTCTCTGTGCCCCAGAATCCACTAGGCAGTTTTAACAGTCCCAGTGATTAGGCCACACCCCAAAATGATTAACTTGGACTCTCTGGGGGTGAGACCTAGGCATCAGTAATTTGTTTTTACATTGCTTGCTTGATTCCTAAGTCCAACAAAGGTTGAGAAACACTGCGCTAGGCTGATACATCTCAAACATGAATATGGATGTGCATCAACTGGGCCCTGTGTTTTCGTATTCAGTAGGACCTGGAGTGGGCCCTGGGTCTGCATCTCTAGCAACTGTTCAAGTGACCTTGATACTGTCAGAATGAAGCCTGCACTGTTAACTAGCAAGGGTCTGTTGCATTCGTCTAGGGGTCAGGGACACTCGCTTCTTGTCTTTTGAATTTGCAAGAAGTAGTCTTCCCTAAGAACATTTTTCTCTCCTTCCTGTAAGTTAAATTTTCTTGGAAGTCACGCTCCTCACAAACTTTTCATTAAGACTGTACTGACTAGTGGGTGTGAACAGAATGACACGTGGGGAGACACAGAAGGTCACCCTCTCTCTTTTGGAATAGTTCTCTGCCAAAAATTACTTAGAGTCCTGACTTTGGGGGAGTGAGAGAGGCAGATATCTGGCTCACATTCAATGAAAGGGGCTTGGAGAGAAGAGGCTTCCTTCTAAATGACACTTAGAAAAAGGCATAACTTAAGACTTTGTTCATAGCAAATAAGACACAGTCAACTGAAGAAACCAGGTGAAAGAGCTAAATGAAGATGTGAGTGGACGACTATCTCATCGGAATAGATTTTGTGGCAAGGGCATTGCGTGTTATTGCTCTTACGGGCCACTTCATGAAAGCTCAGATTCTCCAGAAGGTATGAGCATGTCTGTGACATGGAATGACAAAAGCTCTGTTCTTTAAACATCTCTAGGCCTGTACTCCCCGAAGTCCACCTTGTCAGTAGCTAAGTAGATGCTAAGGCTACCTCTGAGTCATCTTCCTTCGTTCCTCCTCTTTTCCAATATAAACTAATATTTAAGTTAATTTGGAGTCTCGGAGAGGGGGACATATGCTAATAGTCTTCTCTTTTTGTGGAACCACTCAGAGGCGTACGCACGCCTAGTGATTTGGTACCCTTTTTGATTTGGCTCAATTTCTAATTTGGCCCTAATTTTCTTTACCTTTTATTTCTCATTACAGGCATTTTTATAATGCTTCCAGGGCCCCGGGGGCAAGTCAAACCTTGTTCTCCCTCCTGAATGTCATACATGACTGAATTTTTACTGCAAGAATTATCAAAGGCTACATCACCAGCAGTAGTCCATTGGAGACTAAGGCTCGAGGGAAGGAAAAAGTGAGGCTGCTGCAGTCTATGGCTTTGGAAGGAAAGCCTTTCTTCCCCTACTGTATGGAAGAAAGTGATGGTTTACATTCTAATAGCCGTATTATCTCTTCATTGCAGTCTCCTGTGCTGATTGCCGTTCTGTCCTCTGGACTTGGGATTTGGCCTCCCCTGTCTTTACTGTTACCTAACCAACGCAGTGTGGCACAGTCATGTACAGAGCGACTTTGGATTAGGTATATTCAAGGACGTTCACATTGATATTGTCATGAATGTCAGAAAACTCATTTTCAGATGAAGTATAAAAGTTGTAAATTAGGCTTTATTCTTAATTTATCGAATCCACAAAAGAATTAGACATGCAATCAGGAGCACCAACATTTGGGGGAAGTATTCTATAATTTACTGAAACACCCAAGAATTTTTCATCCCAGGAAAAGCAGCACAGCACTTTGTTGTAATTCCTTTCTTTTTCACTTTGAATTACATAGGCAACAGGGGTACCACTATAGTTATTTCTTCTAATGCTTAGAGCTTCTTAAGTGTGTTCCTAACACCCTAATCACCCCCTACCTCATTTATTCTTTGCCAGCCTTCATCACTCACTTATCTGCTCATCAAAAACCAGTCTTACATAAGAAAAATGTCACAGCACTCCCAGCCTGGCCGGCGAGTAGAGCTTAATATCACTAAAACTAAGCATTTCTCCATACCTAAGAACTTTGGGCGGACCACTGGGCCCCAGCTATGTCCTTTAAATTTTCTGTGCCACCGTTGGGAACCAGGGTTCTTTGCCTTAGGGATGAGTATGAGGATTCTTTGTTGACTTCTAAGTGCTAGTCTTCCTCCTTCCCCCCGGGTCTTGTTCCTGCCGTTAAACTTTTACTTCTCAGTTTGGTTTTGACCAGTGGAACACCTCTCTTGTACCTCCTCCAGTAAGGGGCCTTGTTCCTGTACAGCAATCTACACAGTGGGAACAGCCTTCCTGTTAGATGCACAGTCTCCAAGCTTCTCCCCTGTGCTCCATTACCATGGGGTCAGCCACTTCCTCTGAGTCACCAATGAGTTTGACACAGTCTTTGGATAAGAGAGACCTGCAAGTTTGAGCAGCTTATATTGAAGGATTGGGCTGTACGAAATCCTGACACTGTTTGTTTTCCATTTCTGTCCCTTATTACGTTCCGGAAGTATCCAACCCATACTCTACAACTTTACCTATGTTTACTCAATGGCACAGTCATTATCTACAACAATTAGTGGGTTAGAGAAGAATAGCACACTGATAAAGAGCCATGGCATTAGAGTTAGAATACCTGAGTAGAACTCTCAGCTCTGGCTGTTGTGACTTTGGAGAAGCTTCGTAACCTCTTGATTCTCAATATCTGTGTCTGCAAAACATGGATCATAAAATCTCTTTTAAGGAGGGGTGGGAAGGACAAAATATATACTAGGTGCTTGGTATAGCTCCTAATCATCGTAGTTATTCAGTAACTGATGTTGTTGTTAGCTTACTTGTAGAGTTCCATAAAAAATGATATCCATATAAACAAAGAAACTATATAATTAGGTTATATATAATCATATTATCTCATTATTGATGATTATGCTATTATTTTTGTTATACAGAATTCTATACAATGATTAACCCCCCAAAATGCATTTCTACATTAGAAGACTATGTTTCCTCTCTGTAAAGAGAGAAGCTGCTGTGCTCTTTCTGATTTCGTAATTACAGAGTGTGGTTAGTGACTGATAAAGGAGGCACCATGTTCCTGGATCCTTCCCAATATTTCCTTTCCTTTATGTCTGAGTGTCAATTTGATCCTACCTCTATTATAAACTGAGGGTAGAATTTCAAAGACAACCACTTTTAAACAAATCTCAGTACAACTAAAATTCTGGTGGTCACGTTAATTTTATTAACAGGGTGAAATCTGCAGGGTGTAAACTTCTTCACTAAGTTTGCAAAAACTTTCCTCACCAATGACTCAAGGACTCCATCAATAGAGACTCCAGAGGACCCCTGGGGTGCTGTGTACCGGGCAACTCTTCCTCATAATCCAGTTCTTGAAACAATGTCCCTGAGAGATTGCACTTCAGCTTTTGTAATAAATCTCTTTTCTGAGGCATCCTGGATGATATACAACTTCTTCACTGCATCTTCAATTGCTGGTCACTGACTAGACTCTTCTAAGAACTGCTAATGTTTTACCGGGTACCACAATGCCCAGATAGGAGCCCTTGAAAAGGGTCATAACGAGATACCCGAGGGGGAAATAAACTGAACTTATGGATGTCTTAATCCATGATTTTAATGATGCTGATTCTGCTACTATGGGAAGTGTCTGGAAAAATGAAACTATATGCTCTCATCTCTTTAAAAATTCAGACTCATCCAGTGTGACCTAAAGAGTCCTTGGTAATCATTAGCAAGTGATGTTCAGAAACTACATTCCATCTTCCCTTCCTTTTAAAATATTACCCCATCACATATAAAGCTCAGCCATTTTTGGATTTGCTTCAGCATTTCTAAGAGTATATATCAAAATAAATGGTAAGTTATTTGTGTAGATGTTAAAATTATCTTCTACAATTTAGTTTTGATCTAAGAAATCCTTATGAACTAGTTGGAGGAGCTGGGATTATTCTCATTTTACAAACTGGGAGGGAAAGTAAAAAGGGATCTGCCCAATCCTAGCTGCACATATGTATTAGCTGGGTTGTTTAAAAAGCAGTGCTTGGAGATTCTGTTCCTACCCGTCAGAAGTTGAGTCTGGGCACTACTTTCTGTTTCTGAGTTTTCTGAATGGCTTTAAGGTTCAGCCAGAAGGAAAACTCACTGGCCTAAGGTCAAGTAGCTAAAATGTGGAAAAGACAAATGAAAACACACAATGTGGTTTCTGCACATCGGAAATTCAAGAAAAGTTACAAATGTTTTAGAGCCCTTCTGAGTCTTAGAGTTCTCTTAGAGTTCTTAGAGTGCTCTTCTGAGAACAGAAGGGGATATCACAGACAAAGATACGTCAAGATCAAGAAAATCCATTCTAATTCCTTTGTGGCCTCTGTCTACCCTGTTGAACATTCAATCTGCAGCATCTAGAGTAGGTTTTGGTACATGGTCGATGAATTAATAAACATGTATTGTTCCCTGTAAGGGATCTGGCATGTGTGAAAAGAAGATGGATTTTGGTTATAGGTTAAAGTAAACTCTTTGGCTCCTATCCAGTGCAAATTGCAACTTAATAGCCATTGCCTCCTTGAGGCTGCAGTGCAGGCCCTGGTTAGCAACTGACGTTGTCACCATATCCACACCCACAGTCCTGCCTGGCCACCTGCTCTGTGATGATAGACAGATTGTCTGCGACATTGCAGGAGGAGAAACCACACAGAGATAGCAATCTGACCAAGCCTCAGGCTTGAGCATGTAAACTGATCCTTTGTCAGTATCTTAGGAATTACTTTTGGGTCCTCATCTTGCCCACTTTACAGACAAGTCAGAGAATCTCAATGTGTTCTATTAAGAAGGGTTCATTAAAGATGTATTTTATGAGTATGATTCTCATGTGTTTATTTGTTCTTTTTCAAGAATCAAGGAAACTGAGTTTCCTGATTAAGTCCAAGTCAATCATCAAGCATCTCGTATTAAGGGCAAAATTTGGGCAGAGTAGAGAAAAATAAAACATGGCTGAGAGTAGTCATTAATTCATTTCTTTAATTCATTTTTTCATGCATTCATTGAACAAATATTTATGAGAATCTACTTAAGCACTGTCCCAGACACTGGGGAGAAAGCAGTGAAAATTTTAGAAGAAGTTCCTATCCTCCTGGAATTTATATTCCAGTGGAAAAACAACAGGTGACAAACAAAATAGTGAATGAACAACTTGTAGAGTGTCATCTGGAGATAATGCTATGAGAGCACTAGAGGGGGAAAATGGTATAGGGAGTTTGGAGGGAAAGTACTAGCTTAGGAGGTCAGTTTCACAGAGACTTGAAGTTGGATTTCCTGTTGACAATGCCATCCCTTTTCTGAGAGTCCCAAACAGATTTTATACACACACACACACACACACACACACACACAGTGCCAAAAACTATATTGGCATTTCAAGAAAGGCAAACTCTGTATTAAAATTGTAACACTCAATATACACCAACAACATTTGTTATTTTACAGATAGTATGTTGTACCTCTTGTTATTGCAAAAGTCCAACATGACTTGAGTATTACAATTTTAGCACCTTTCCTTTCTTAAAATGTGCATACTTTTTCTGGCATCCTGTGTGTGTATGGGGGTGTGTGTGTGCACGTGCATGCATGCGTGCGTGTGTATCTCACAGTATTTTGTTTATTTGAAAACTCGTTTCTGCCCTGCATTGAGGTTCTTTTAGGAATTCTCACCTCAGAGCTGTCGGACTCCATCAGGGTTAGCAGCAGAGGCGTGACCACGTGACTGGCACCTCTGAATTCAGGAGTGTATTCAAGTTATATAAATTCAAGAGTTGTTCCAAAAAGACAGACTGCCCCTGGGGGTTGCACATAAAATGACAATGTTCTTCTAAGGCAAAGTTGCTACAAGAATTCTGAGTGCCCTTTTGGTTTTATTTAAATTACAGCATCTTATTAATGCACTTCGATGGCCCCCTTACATAAGTGAGTTCTGACAGGTGAACTTCTTGCCGCAAAGTCAACCACATTGGTGAGGAGGGAGGGAGGGAGGTCACACACGTGTCACTTAATGATGGTTCCCGTGTTTCTTTCTTTGAGTTGGTCACAGCTATTTTTTCTTTTTCCTCCTGCATTCTTACCCCAAATTACGAAATAGACAACACACGTACACTGACAGCACACTCATTCATACACACACACACACTTATACAGATGCACATATGTAGTTCTTAACTATGGTCAAATAATTATTGAAAAATTATCAATAGCAAATTTGCTTTGTTAAAGTTTGTATTTAACCTTAATGGTTTTCTTTTTGCAGGGTCTCTCATGTACTTAGTTTCAAGTCGACAAAGAAGCTCATAGACTAAAGTGGATTATGTCCCATGCATTGTGCTTTTTTTGAAAGGAATGATATTAGATTGGAAACCCAAAAAAGATATGTGAATTATGTGTCTTAGAGATCTTAAGAGAGATTTAAATTTTTTCTTCCTGTTACTTTTATCAAAACAAGCAGGCAAACAAAAAAAGAAACATATTAATGTAGCAGTTACTCAGCAAAAGCAGAGCTTGGATGGAAAATTATTCAAAGGACCTCTAATTCATGATAAACGACCAAGAAATATATGTTGAATAAATGATGCAAATGAATGGAACATGCTTTATTCTAGGGTAGTAATTTAATTCACAGTATAAGTTTTGTAGCAGCATTCCTGGCTAAATTTTTAAATCATCTAGGCAGCAAATCGTGAGTGACTAATCCATGCAGAGCCACAAACTAAGTTCTGTGGGGATTAAAAAAATAATGAGACACCACTCATGACTTTTAGAAATTGAGTCTTATAGGTAGAATGAAACTTCTTCAAAGATTTTTGAAGAAGTGAGTGCTATAGCCAGGTATGTGCTTTAGGAAGATAAATCTTGACAGCGTGTCTGAGGTGTGTTAAAGTGGGCATGACCAGGGATAAAGAGATTGGTGAGGAGGTGATTAAGAGCATCGCAAAGTAGGCCCAAGGAAAAGGACTCCGAACAACAGCTGGAAAGAAAAGAAAGAATATAGCTATTTTTCTCTTTGGCTCAATTCTTGGCAGAATCCCATTACCTCTCTGCCCAATAGTTTTAAAAAATACTGAGTTTTCATGTTGAGGGGAATCATTCCGGATGGCTTCAACTAGAACACATATAATTTCTATAAAGCTGTTACTATTCTAGGAAAAAAAAAATCTGTTTTAAGACTGGCATAGCAAGTTGGGATGGGGGTGGTAGTCTGCTCCAGCAGGCAGAGAGAGTATTTTGTCATTGACATGATGAATGGTGACAATGGAGAGGAGGCCGACCCTCAGTTGGTTTTATTATTGTGTCTAAGTTCTCTCCTGACAATACCCGGTTCCCGTTTTTTTTTGCATGGTAGATTTACTGCTCCCCTGCCTGTCTCCCTGGGTGATGTGCTGTCTTTTAAGCAGGTTACAGTAATCTGAGAATATCTGGTCTCCTTTCTAGGACATAGGCCTGAATTGTAGCTAGGGAACAGGTGAAAAGATCCCCACCTCACCCTGTGCACCCCCAGACATTGAAGTCTGCTGTACAGAAAAGCCAAATGGAGCCAAGTTTGATGAAGTACAGACTTTATGAAAGCCCTTTGCTTCCCCTAACTGGACATGACCTTATTATTATATTTAGAAATACACAAAA